TAAATACCCCATTCGTCCATAAAGCATCCCCATGGCCATGTCATCAAAATTCAGTTGCTTGGAAACTGGCTTGTATTTATGACTGTTGCAGTGTCCCGGGGTCCTGTGATCACCTTTTGCAACCTTCTGACAAGCAAAGTCAACGGGGAATCCAGATTCACTTAACCACCATGTTACTAATTTAATAAATGCAGTGATTCGCTTAACAACTGTGTCAAGAAAGGTTGTAAAATGGGGGCAAAACTCAACAAAAGTCTTACTCGGCAATAGAAACGTTCGGCTCAATTGTCGTAAGTCAAAGACTACATGTAATGCAATGTAATGTAATATCATAGTAAAATAAATTATAGCACACTTTAAACATGCTTAGAAATCCTTCTCGAATTGGAGGTGGGGAGGGGGAAACTTTCCTTGCCATTGAATTATAAAGTCTAATAGACTTTTTTCCCCTCCAAGCTTATTGCAGCTGCCTAAACTAGATCCACGAACCCCGGATGAAATGCTTTATGGACGAATGGGGTATTTATCCGCTCTGCTGTTTGTGAACAAACATTTTGGAGAGGAAAAGATCTCTCCAAATCACATCCAACAGGTATTCTATCCTCTTTTTTTTTTTTTTTTGTATCCTGAGCTACTCAAAATACAGGTAGTCCCTGACTTTTGACCACAGTGAGCCCAAAACTTCCATTGCTGTGCGAGACAGTTGTTAAGTCAGTTTTGCCCCATTTTACAACCTTTTTTAAAAAATAAATCAAAGCAGTTGCTAAGTTATTAACATGGTCGTTAAGTGTATCTGGCTTCCCCATTGACTTTGCTAGTCAGAAGTTGCAAAAAGTGATCACAGGACGCTGGGACACCGTAACCATCATAAATACATACCAGTTGCCAAGCATCTGGATTTTGATCATGTGACCATAGAGCAGTGTTTCTCAACCTTGGCCACTTGAAGATGTCCGGACTTCAACTCCTAGAATTCCCCAGCCAGCGAATGCTCCCAGAATTCCCCAGCCAGCGAATGCTCCCAGAATTCCCCAGCCAGCGAATGCTGGCTGGGGAATTCTGGGAGTTGAAGTCCGGACATCTTCAAGTGGCCAAGNATGGGGAATTCTGGGAGTTGAAGTCCGGACATCTTCAAGTTGCCAAGGTTGAGAAAGACTGGTCTAATTACTGAAGAGATTCAGTAATTTGCTTACCATTTAATATAACAAGCAAATATATAAATAAAATAAATAAATAATAAAATAAAATAAATAAATAATAAAATAAAATAAATAATAAATAAATAAGCCAATGCTGGCTGGGGAATTCTAGGAGTTGAAGTCCAGACATCTTCAAGTTGCCAAGTTTGGGAAACTCTGATCTAGACCAGCAACTAAGTGGAAGCTAGACCTCACAAAACTACTCAGGTAATGTATGAAGCAGCTGAGAAAAATCCACCTAGATGAGACTTCACCCAAAAATAATACAAAAATAAGCAAAATTATGCACTTGTGGGTATTAATTAACTCTATTTGACCTTTTACCTCATCATTGCACATGTTTATAAAAGTTGGCTTCTGTGTCTATCAATATAATATAATCGATATAATTTGTTTAGTATAATTGGAACACAGTAGAAGAGAGACTGCATGGTCTCCACAAGTATTTGCCCTGCCACATCTCATGAACCATAGGCTTACTAGCCATTTGTGCTTTAAAAAGTTACTGAATTAGTTTCCCCAAAATGAATGCCTGTGTTGATCTTCGGTTGTCTGAAAAACACTAGAAAAGAACGTGGTTAATAACGGGCTTTGAATGAAAAGAACCTGGGATTGAACAGAGCAAATACAGAAGCCCTGACGTTTCTTGAAAAGTTTTCATCACAGCTCAGCAATTCCCGGCAAGTGGTTCAAGTTCTGATTGAGCAGAGTTTGTGTTGTTCACAGCAGCCACAATTTGTTAACAGTTTTTACAGTGACTAACCAAAACCATGAGGAACAGCCGTTCCTCCACCTCATCAACAAATCTAGTTGGAGCCAGGCCCATAAATAGTTGCTATTTAGCATGCAACAGAATGTATAACTGGAACAAATGCTTCATGTGAGGACTATTGGGCATAAACCTCGTGACCTCAAGACTGGACTACTACAATGTTGAATGCAAGTTGTGTTTTTATTATTTTACTTTGTTCACATACTGTTTATTTTTGAATTGCACCCCCTCCCTA